GGCTGCCTCAGAGGCTTGGAACCAGCCAGCCCAGACCCTTCTGTCTGTGAGTTATGACCTGAGCTCTGTTCTGGCACTTTCTGAAGCCAGGAAGCCTTAGGCACGGTGATGTTTTTGAGACAGGCTAACATGAGAGGCAGCGGATGAGGTGGAGGGTCACCCCTGGCCCTGAAAGGTGTTCATGAGGGACTGTCCTGGCTGGAGTTGACAGCTTCTCATGCAGAGCTCGGCTCTGGTCATGGGGGCAGCCCAGCCCAGCAGGCTGGACAGGCGTCCCTGGGGGAGTTTCGGGGGTTCTGGTCTGCCTGCTCCCTCGGTGCAGCGTCTTGAGGGCCCAGGTCCTCACGAGCCCCTTCCCGGCAGCCTTCACCCTTCTTCTCTCTCCCTCTTCCTGGTGGACCTGCCACCTCCCTGCATGTGTCTCCCGAGGGGCCCAGTGTCAGGTACATGAAGCAGCACTGGCTGCAGTGCTTGCGCCTCCTCCTGGGGGACAGTAGCGTGCCTGGGTGTGCCTACTGGTCACCCCCTACCCAGACTCCTCAGCATGCCCCACGGGCCCTCTGCCTTCTGAGAACCCCTGGGTGCTGGTTCCTGGGGTGGCTGTGCTGAACGAACTCAGTGGGTGCCCACAGGCGGAGTGACGCCAGTCCTGGGTGTCCTGCGGATGGAAGCCAAGCGTGGGCCACCTGTGGGCACTGGCCATCACAGCTGGGACTCCCAAGGGAGATGGCCCATTGCCTCAGCCGAGCTGGGTGTGATTGCTCCCTGTGCTGAGAAATGGGCCACAGTGTGGCCTGTGGGCACTCCCACCACCCGGGTGCCCGTTTCCACCTGCCCCACGATGCCCAGCAACCTTCCCTGCCCTCACGGGGATTCTCACACTTTATAATGCGGCACTGAGTTACGGGACGTGATGTCTCGGAGGAGCTGGGTGCACTAGGCGCCTTGCCACTGGGGATCCTGGAGATCTGGCCACCGCCAGCTTGCCATGGGCCCTTGTGGCCAGCAGAGGGAGCAGTGGGCCCAGCTGGAGATGGCCGCCCAGCAGGACCACTCTGCTCTGGCTCCCCCAGGATCTGGGCACTTTGCTGTCCCCACCTGTCCCCAAAGGGCTGTGTGTGCTGCCGGGGCTGCCTGTCCATTGCACTGCCCGTCCCTTGGGTAGGGTGGCCCCAGGGGGGCAGAGTACAGCCGCTGTGGTGTCCCGGCTCTTCCACTGTGGTGCTCCGGATCCCAGCCAGGCTTTTGTCCATCGAGCACGGGGTCAGGGTCCTCCCTGCTTTAAGCTCAGCGCAGGAGTCAGACAGTTTGCGGAGAGATTTCATACTCTCTGGATTCCCTTTCCCCAATCCTTCTGAAGGACCTTCGCACCTGCAACTTTCTGCTGCTGCGAGTCGGGCCACTCACAGGGAGTGACCCGTGCATCCCGAGCAGAACCGGGCGGAGCTGGTGGCTGTGCCTGAGCCCTGGATGCAGCCACTGCGTGGAGGGTCCACCTGGTGGAGGGTGGAGTCAGTCCATCCCATCGTGTGGAGGGTCTTTCTCTGTTTTGCTGCCCCTCTACTTTACCAAGCATGATGTCCTTCTGCAGGGCCATCCCTCTGGACAACACATCTGAGTGTGGAGAGGAGGCCTCACCGTGCTCACCTCCAGGAGCACGTTGTCCCCATGGCCAGGCTCTTTGTCTGACACGCTGGCTATGAGCGGCCCGAGGCCGGTGGCCATCCTGGAATAGGACGTGGGTTCCTGTCCCTGTTGGGGTCAGCTGTTGGACAGCCCTGGGTAATATGGGGACAGTGTGGTCTGCTGTGGAGAGGCGTGTGCAGTTGGTGGGTGTGTGGGGGACAACACCTTGGTGCAGACAAGCGCCCTGCAAACTGCCATCCCGTAATCAGTGTGAGACAGAGCTGGCAGCATGGGTGTGATGCCCACCCGGCCCCTTCCAGGGCTACCCCGCCCCTTGCTCTTGGCTAACTCTCCTCTGAGGGCCTGGTACCCCGCCGGGTCAGGACCAAGGGGAACATGTGAGGACTGGGGCCTCAGGAGCTCCGCTTGAGATCCCTGTCACTACCCATCATGCAATCTGGGGCAAGTTACTTAGAACTCCCAGAGCAAGAGCAGTGATCTGCTTAGACGAGTCTCAGCTGTGGCCTGTTCTCGCTGGCACGTGAGATTGACCATAAGAGAGATCCGTCATTGGTGGTGGACTTCCGAGCCTAGGCCTGGCATGAAGAGGGGGCATAGCTTCCTGCTTTCCCCTGGAACTTTCCTGGAGACTCTGGGTAAGCTCTAGTCTGTTTGCTAAAAATATCCATTAGGTCGGTGGTTCAAACTCACCAGCTGCTCCTTGGGAGAAAGATGAGGCTGTCCATTCCTGTCAAGATTTATAGCCTTGAAAACCCTGCACAGGGCAGCTGTGGGTCAGAATCAACTGGATGGCAGTGAGTTTTTGGTCATTCCCCTGCCTGGGTAAGCATGGAGCTTGTACCTGGTTCACCTTCCAGGCTCGGGACCCTCCTAGCCATGGACTCTGTGACAGGCCCCTTTACATGGTCTCTGTGCACCTGGCACAAGCTGTGTCCACTTTGATGGTCAGTAAAGGAGCAAACCAAACTCACCGCCATGGAGTCAAGGCTGACTCAGCGACCCTACAAGGCAGGGTACAGCTGCCCTGGTGGGTTTCCAGGACTGTAACTCTTTATGGGAGTAGAACACCTCATCTTTGTCCCACGGAGCTGGCTGGAGATTTCAAAGTGCTGGCCCTTTGGGTCACAGCCCAATGTGTAACCAGGACGCCACCAGGGCTCCAGATCGGTGAAGGGTGGTGGTTGAAAAACGGTGTCCTTTCTGGAGAACCTGTGGGCAAAAGATGGCCTTTCGTGTGCAGGAAGCCCAGTGGCCACCAGGTGGCGCCGTGAGATTGGAGATGAGCGTGCTCCGTGCTTGCAGTGGGAGGAGGACCCTTGGTTTCTGATGAGGACAAATGCAGCACAATCCATCTAATTAATCCAAGGGATGCCGCAGAGCCAGCTCGCCCATCTCCGTAAAGCGCAGCTCTGGCATTCATAAATCTTATTTGGACGCATTTCAGTGGAAAGATCCCAAGTTTAATATGTTCTCAATGTTCCCCGAGCTGTAAAATATGCTTCTGTTAGTTTTGAGAAATTTGCAGCCAGAGAAATTAAGTAAAATAAAGTGGTGACTCACACTCCTGCTAGCCCAACTGCTTCTGTTTTGATGTAGCTACCCCCCACCCCCCACCCCCTGCCCCGGCATCTTTATACACAGCTGTGACCCCTGCCTGGGTACCCACCCTTTTGCACATTCTTTATTTTATTTTTTTAATGGTTTTATTGACACATAATTCACGTGGTCCATTGTGCCATCACCTACTGCAGCTGTAAAGCGAAAACGAAACAGAAAATACCCCAAACTCACTGCCGTCGAGATGATGCTGGCTCATGGCGACCCTAGAGCCCAGCATAGCACTGCCTGGTTGGTTTCTGAAGCTGTAACTCTTCACAGGAGTAGAGGGCCTCCTCTTTCTCCAGCGCAGTGGCTGGTGGTTTTGAACTGCGGACCTTGTGGCTAGCAGCCCACTCTGTAACCCACTACACCGCCGAGCTCCTCCTGCAGATATCGTTAGGTTACCATCGACAGCCTTTACATTTATTTTATGTTTTAACATTTAACCTCTTATTATTTGTTTTCACCTTTGGCCCGTTTTTAATTCCAGCTCAAACTCACCACCATTGAGTTGATTCTGACTCATAGTGACCCTGTAGGACAGGGTGGAACTACCCCTGTGAGTTTCTGAGACGGTAACTCTTTACAGGAGTAGAAAGCCTCATCCCCCCCAGGATAAGCAAATCTGTAGAGAAAGTTCCTTAGGGTTACGGCCCGGAGGTTGGCATGGGTGGGGGATTGGGGAGCCTGTAGTAGTGGGGTACAGGACAGAAGCTGATGTCCTAGACATGACTGTGGTGGAAGCAGTAGCAAAATGACAGTGATGAAGGGTACATGCGCCTGAATTGTAGGGTACATGCGCCTCTCGGACCCCGGCGCACGCTGGTCTCACCGTGCATGAATACCCACTGCACAGAGGCAGGCTCCGATCAAAGGCAGCCAGCTCTTGCTGCAGCGCCGTGTGGGGAGCTCCTCACCCAGGTACCCAGAGGGACCCCTGAGCCAGTACCTGGCTCCCCAGACCTGCCGCCCAAGCGTTCCAAAACTCAGGGCAGTTTGGAAAGCAGCGTGGGTGGGGGGAGTCTGGCTCATCACAAGCCCCTTGGGCGCCTTCATTTATTTATGGGGAGCTCTCTTTTTTAATTAAATTGGACCATTTCTTCCTCCTAACTGGTGGGGAGGAGGTGGTGGCGTGAGGATGA